ATAAATTTTATTTATTTTATTTATTTGTTTTATTGAAGTATACTTGTAAATACTTGATTTACAATGTTGTGTTAGATTCCAGATTTTAGTAGGAAGGCTTTCAGCTTTTCATCATTGAGTATTATCTTGCCTGTGGGTTTGTCATAAACAGCTTTTATTATGTTGAGATATGTTCCCTCTATACCCACTTTCATAACTTTTTATCATGACTGGATGTTGAATTTTATCAAATACCTTTTCTGCATCTATTGAGATGATCATGTGGTTTTTTTCTTTTCTTTTGTTGATGTGGTATATCACATTGATTGATTTGTGTATGTTGAACCATCCTTGTGACCCTGCGATGAATCCAACTTGGTTGTGGTGTACAAACTTTTTTATGTGTTGTTGGATTCAGTTTGCTAATATTTTGTTGAGAATTTTCCCATCTACATTCATCAAAGATATTGGACTGTAATTTTCTTTTTTTGGTGGTGTCTTTGTCTGGTTTTGGTATCCGGGTGATGCTGGATTCATAGAATGTCTTTGGGAGTGTTCCCTCCTCTTCAATCTTTTGGAGGAGTTTAAAAAGGATTAGTATATAAGTTCTTCTTTGTATGTTTGGTAGAATTCACCTGTGAAGCCATCTGGTCCTGAACTTTTGTTTGTAGGAAGTCTTTTTTTTTTTTTAATTACAGATTCTATTTTATTTCTAGTGATTGCTCTGTTCAAATTATCTATTTCTTTTTGATTCAGTTTTGGTGCACTGTATGTTTCTAAAAACTTGTCCATTTCTTCTAGGTTGTCCAATTTGTTGGCATATAATTGTTCATAGTATTCTCTTTTTTTATTGCATTTCTGTGGTATCAGTTGCTATTTCTCCTCTTTCATTTCTTATTTTATTTGGGTCCTCTCTCTTTTCTTCTTGGTGAGTCTGGCCAAAGGTTTGTCAGTTTTTTTTACCCTTTCAAAGAACCAGCTCTTTGTTTTATTGATTTTTTTCTATTACTTTTAAAAATCTCTATTTTATTTCCTCTCTGATCTTTATTATTTCATTCCTTCTGCTGACTTTAGATTTTGTTTATTCTTCTTTTTCTAATTCTTTTAGGTGGTAGGTTAGTTTGTTTGAGATTTTTCCTATTTCTTGAAGAAGGCCTGTATCACTATGAACTTCCCTCTAAGAACTGCTTTCGCTGCTTCCCATAGATTTTGTATGATTGTTTTCATTGTCATTTGTCTCAAGGTATTTTTTAATTTCCTCTTTGATTTCCTCCTTGACCCATTGGTTTTTTAGTAGCATGTTGTTTATTCTCCATGTAATTGTTGTTTTTCTCATTTTTTTTTCCTGTGGTTGATTTCTAGTTTCATGCTCTTGTGGTCAGAAAAGATGCTTGAAATAATTTCTATACTCTTTTAAATTTGTTGAGGCTTGTTTTATGCCCTAGTATGTAATCAATCTTAGAGAATTTTCCATGTGCACTTGAAAAGAATGTGTATTCTGGGTTCTTTTGGATGTAATGTCCTGAAAATATCAATTAAGTCTAACTGTTCTATTGTATCATTTAGGATCTCTGTTGCCTTATTGATTTTCTGTCTGGAAGATCTGTCCATTGATGTGAGTGGGGTGTTGTAGTCCCATTGATTTCCACCTTTATGTCTGTTAGTATTTATTTCATGCATTTGGGTGCTCCTATATTGGTGCATATATGTTGACAAGTGTAATATCCTCTTCTTTTATTGTTATATAGTGTCCTTCTTTATCTTTCCTGTTTATAGCCTCTGTTTTGTTTGATATGAGTATTGTGACCCCTGCTTTCTTGTCATTTCCATTTGCATGAAATATCTTTTTCCATCCCCTCACTTTCAATCTATGTGTGTCCTTTGCCCCAAAGTGGGTCTCTTGTAGGCAGTATATTGTAGGCTTTTTTGTTTTTTTTTAATCCAACCTGCCACTCTATGTCTTTTTATTGGAGCATTTAGTCCCTTGTCATTTAAGGTAATTGTTGATAGATATGTACTTATTGCCATTTTAAACCTTGTTTTCCCATTGATTTTGTATTTCTTCTTGTTCCTTTCTTTTTGTTTTTCCTTTTGTGGTTTGATGATTTTCTTTTGTATTATGCTTGTGTTCTCTTCTTTTTGGTTTTCATGAATCTATTGTATGTTTTTTGATTTGTGGTTACCCTGTTTTTCAAGTATGTTAACATCTTCCTATATCTACTTGCTTGGACTGGTAGTCATATAAGCTGAAAAACATTCTGAAAAAAAATAAACCCACTACATTTTCTTACTCTCCTCCCCCACATTGTATGATTTTGATGTCCTCTTTTACATCTGCATGTTTATCCTTCTGCCATTCATTGTGGTTATCAGCACTTTCACAGAAAATTTTGCAGAAAATTTTTTTGATTTTTAAAAAATCTGTGCACTGGCTTATTTAAGTGATTTACTTTCCAGTTGTGATTTTCTCTTTCCTATGGAGTCTTGCTGCTTTTCTATTTAGAGAAGGCCTTTCAATATTTCCTTTGGGCTAGGTTTTACTATTGCTGTATTCTTTTACTTTTTGCTTATCTGAGAATTTCTTTATCTCTTCTTCTATTCTATTCTTCTTCTAAATAATCTTGCTGGGTAGAGTATCCTAGGTTGCAGATTTTTCCCTTTCAGGACTTTGAATGTATCTTGCCACTCCCTTCTAACCTGCAATGTTTCTGTAGAGAAATTACCTGATAGCCTTATGGGGGTTCCCTTGTAATTAACTTTGTTTTTCTTTTGCTGCCTTTAGAATCCCCTCTTTAACTTTTGCCATTTTAATTATGATATGTTTTGGTGTAGGTCTGTTTGGGTTCATCTTGTTTGGGACCCTCTGTGCTTCCTGTACCTGGATATCTGTTTCCTTCTTTAGGTTTGGGAAATTTTCAGCCATAATTTCTTCAAATACATTTTCAATCCTCTTTTCTCTTTCTTCTCCTTCTGGTATCCCTATTTTGCATATATTGGCATGCTTTACATTATCCCATAGGTCTCTTATATTGCTTTCTTCTTTTTTTTTCTTCATTTGGCTTTCTGTCTGCTGTTCTGATTGGGAGATTTCCATTATTCTATCTTCCAGATCACTTATTCATTCTTTTCCAAATTCAATCTGCTATTTATTGTCTGTAGCTCATCTTTCATCTCACCAAATGAATTTTTAAATTTTTCTTGGTTCCTTCTATAGCTTCTAGTTTCTTTTTACAGTAATCTGCATTTCTATCAATATCTCTTCTTAATTCCTTCAGTATTTTCATTATCTCCTTTTTTAAATTCAGTGTCTATTAGACTGAGGAGGTCTGTTTCATTGTTTGTTCTTTCAGGGGAATTCTCTTGATCTTTTAATCTGGAGTGATGCCTCTGCTTCTTCATTTTACTTATATTTCTCTTACCCTATGGGTTTAGGAGGAACAGTTATCTACTGTGGTCTTGGCTTTTTTGTTTGTTTGTTTTTATGTTGGCTAAACATGCTGCATGTCTTGCGGGATCTCAGTTCTCTGACCAGGGACTGAACGTGGGCCATGGCAATGAAAGCACCAAATCCTAACCACTAGACCACCAGGGAACTCCCAAGGGCTATTTTTATATGGAATGTCCTTGTGTAGCCTGCGTGGCTTTAGTACTTTTGGTGCGAGGGCTGCTTTTAGTATGGATGCCTGCTGCATCTTTCCTCAGTGTGTGCTGGCCATTATCTGCTTGATAGGGGGTGTGACTGGTGTTGCGGTGACCAGAGCCTGCCCTGGATAGTGAGTGGGGCCTCCTCTTTGATCTGTGGTTTTCATTGCCCTGTTGGGGTAAGGGCATGCTCCCTAGTTGTTGGAGTAGAGGCCCCCAGACCCATTTCTAAGCTGTGGTGTGAGGGGGGTGGGGTGGGAGAGGAGTCAGTGCGTATTCCTCAATTGGAGCTGCCCATCAGGCAGCACGCTGTGGTGTCACTTGTCACCTGTCGTGTGGGCTCACAAAGTACACTGTTGTTGGCACTGCCCTCAGCCCTGCCTCGACTGCGGGAAGGCAAGAAATCAGCCCAGATGTCCCTCAGGTGCTGTGTTCACAAAACTACAAGTACAGATTTGTAGACACTGATCCACTGAAGTCAGGTATCGGGACTGCAGCAGAAGCAGCCCAGACTCCAGGCCAGCCACACAGCTGCTAATGCCAGACTATCCCAACTGTGGGAACACCTGCAGTCCACTTGGCTGTCCTGCAGGCACTGCGTTTACAAAGGTGGTGGCAGTAATGTAAATCCAAGGTGTGGACAGCCGCCGAGGATCAGCTCTGATTTCAGTCCCGCCTCCACTCTGTGGCCAATCGCTGGTGCTTACACGTTCCCACACTCCCAGAGGTCCGAGAAAGAGGCTGGTATGGTGGGCCCTCCCCTTCCCAACATTGAATGAAACTGGTCCAGACCTCCAGCACCACCCTGCATGGGAAACACTAAATGGACATTCTGGGCGACTTGTTACTTGGCAAGAGCTAACAGAGACAACCATGAAAGTCAGGACTTTGAGTTGGGGGAAAACATCTGGAAAGGGGAGGTGTTTCCTCAAACTGAAAAAAAGACTGGGGTCCACTCTAAAAATCACCTTCCACAGGTCTGTCAGGGGAGAGGTGCTTCCTTCTAAAACAACTTTCCCTGCCCTGGAGTTCTCTGCTCATTTTTCTCTAATTTTGGAAGCACTGTTTCAGTCCTAGGGATCCACATTTATTCTTTTATAAATTTATTTATTTATTTACTTATGGCTGTATGGGGTCTTAATTGCTGCGTGCGGGCTTTCTCTACTTGCGGCGAGCAGGGGCTACTCTTCATTGTGGTGCGTGGGCTTCTCATTGGGGTGGCTTCTCTTGTTGCAGAGCACGGGCTCTAGGTGCACAGGCTTCAGTAGTTGTGGCTCACGGGCTCTAGAGCGCAGGCTCAGTAGCGGTGGTGCATGGGCTTAGTGGCTCTGCGGCATGTGGGGTCTTCCTGGACCAGGGCTCGAACCCATGTCCCCTACATTGGCAGGCGGATTCTTAACCACTGCACCACCAGGAAGTCCCCACATTTATTCTTAAGACCCTGCTCCCTGTTACCATGCCAACTGCACCAAAGGAACTGAACCTTTTATTTAAATGTGTGGACCAAATGTCTACTCAGTCATAAAATGATCAAAAGGCCGACCAGAGACCCACAGATATATCTTCGGGTCTACTTTCATGGGTCACAATTAGAATTTTGAACCAGGGAGGTGGTGGAGGTGAGTCTGATAGATGCGAGGTCCAGTCCTGACCCTGTGACATCCTTCCTGTGTGATCTCGGGCACCCCACGGAGCCTCCCAGAGCCTTGCTTTCCTCATTGGCAACGTGGGGATGGTAGGGTATCTACCCGCTAGTGCTGAGAGCCCGAGCACAAGGTATAAAAGGCTCAGCAGGGTGCCTGCCTATAGGAGGCCCTGGCAGCCCTCAGCCCTCATTCTTGGGCTGGTCCACCACGGTTTCTGCAGGACCACCACCGTCAACAGGCTCCTCCTCCTGGTCAGAGCTCAGGTGTTGAGTCAGGTGTGGCAACTGGGCAAAGGTGTCCCCCACCTTCTCATCAGCGTGTGTCCTCTGGTGTCGAATGAGGGCGGAGGAGAAGCCGAAGGCCTTGCCGCAGCCACTGCACTCGTACGGCTTCTCCCCGGTGTGCACGATGTGGTGCTGGATCAGGTAGGAGCGGTTGCTGAAGGCCTTGCCACACTCAGGGCACGCGTAGGGCCGCTCGCCGGTGTGTGTGCGCCGGTGCAGCGTCAGCGACGAGCCCTGGCTGAAGGCACGGCCGCAGTCCCTGCACCGGTAGGGCTTCTCTCCGGTGTGGACCTTCTGGTGCTCAATTAGGGAGGACACGTGGCTGAAGGTGGTGCCGCACTCCAGGCACTTGTAGGGCCGCACCCCCGTGTGCACGAGGTGGTGCTGCACCAGGTGCGAGCGGTTGCTGAAGGCGCGGCCGCAGTCCTGGCAGGCGTAGGGCTGCTCTCCAGTGTGCATGCGCCGGTGCTGGCTCAGGTGCGACACCTGCGTGAAGGCCTTGCTGCACTGCGCGCACGTGTACGGCTTCTCGCCCGTGTGGATGCGCCGGTGCTCGGCCAGCGAGGCGCTCTGGCTGAAGGGCGCACCGCACTTGGGGCACGTGTAGGGCTTCTCGCCCGTGTGCACGCGACGGTGCTGCGCCAGGTGTGTGATCTGCGTGAAGGCCTTGGCACACTGGCCACAGGCGTAGGGCCGCTCGGCAGTGTGTGTGCGCTGGTGGCGGATGAGCGCCGAGGAGAAGCGGAAGGCCTTGTCGCACTGTGCACACACGAATGGCTTCTCGCCCGTGTGGATGCGCTGGTGCTCCAGCAGGGAGGAGCGGTTGCGAAAGGTCTTGGCACACTGGCCACACGTGAAGGGCCGCTCGCCTGTGTGCACACGCCGGTGCTGCGCCAGGTGCGTGGGGCGCATGAAAGCCTTGCCACAGTCCGCACAGCTGTGTGGCCGCTGGCCCGTGTGTGTGCGCCGGTGCGCCGCCAGGTAGGAGCCCTGGCTAAAGGCCTTGCCGCACTCACCGCATGTGTAGGGCCGCTCGCCCGTGTGCGTCTGCCGGTGCAGCATCAGGTGCACGCTCTGGCTAAAGGCCTTGCTGCAGTCGGGGCAGGAGAACGGCTTCTCCCCTATGTGGGTTCTTTGGTGCAGGGTGAAGGCCGAGCAGTAGCTGAAGGCCTTTCCACAGTCCTGACACTTCCACGGCTTTCTGGTGCCACCACCTCGTTCCTCCTCCTCCTCTGCGCTGGCGTCTGTGTTCTTCTGGTTTGGGTTCTTTCTTGGTGCACCGCGCCTCTGGGGCCTACAGTCAGCCTGGGTAGTTGTGGGGCTCGATCTGGTCCTGGGAGTTCTGGTGCATTCATCATGCTCTGGGATGCAGTCCTCAGTGGGGTCTTCCTCGTGGACCTCCTGGTTCTCCCGGCCATCCCTGAAATGACCTTCGTGTTTCGGGGTTTCTTCCAACTCAGAGTCTTGCTGGACGGCAACCGTCAAGAGTCCTTCCATCCCGGCTTTGTGAGCTGCTGCCTCGATTTCACATCTTCGTTACTGGATGACAAAGAAAGAGAGGGAGGGAGGGAAAGAGGGAGGGAGGGAAGGGAGAGAAGGAAGAGGAGGAAAGAAGGAAAGAAAGAAAAAAAGAATGACAACAAAAAACCAAACAGGTTTGTCACCTGTCCCAGGCTGGAAAAGGATTAGTGCAGGGTCTGTCTACTGACAGTGTGGGTCACATCATGCTTTGTTGCGGGACCATCCTGTGCCTTGTAGGATGTTGAGCAGCGTCCCTGACCTCTACTCACTGGATGCCCCCAGGTGTGACAACCAAAACTGTTTCTAAACCCTGCTGTTATGGGTTCAATTGCGTCCATGCAAAAGATGTACTGAAGTCCTAATCCCTGGTGCCTGTGACTATGTGCACGTGTGGAGAGCAGTCAGTGACCTGCTTTGGGTTCAGCCCCCTGGGGTGGGTGGGCCAAGTGGGGGCCATCCTAGGGGTGATGAGTTTCTCCTGGTATCACCAGCAGCACACCCCTCCCTGAAAGACCCTGCTCCCGTGGGTCCAGAGGCCCTGTGTCCGTCTCCCCCCAGCCGCGACCAGCTTCCAGCTTGCTCCCTGCTGTGTGTAAAGTCACACTCACAGGCTGAGCCTGAGCCTCCCTCAGAAGGCTCTGAGCTCCCCTCATCCCCCTGGTGCTCCCCACCCCAACGCCAGCAAAGACGAGCTACAGGTGGCGACGAGCAGGTGTACAGGAAGGTGTACATGCACAGCAGGTAGAGGAAGCCAGTGAAAGTTTTCACAGGTGGGTGGGCCACATGTCTGGACCAGGAGGAGACATTTCATCTTAACTAGCACACAGAGCGCGACAGCTGTCAACACAGAGATCCTGATTTCCACTCTGAAATCAACACCGCTCCACCCTAGCCCAAGGCCCAGCAGCATCAGCATTGCCCAGGACAAGGCAGAGCTCAGGCCTCCCCCCAGGCCTGGTAACTTGGAATCTGCCTTCTGATAAGAGCCCCGGGTGTTTTGTGGGCACAGGAACATCTAAGAGGCACTGGTCCCGGCCACTCTGAAGCCAACTCGGGTGTATTATTATAGTGGCCAAAATAACCAGCACCTGTTGAACACAGACCTATGTGCCCATCACCCTTTAAGCTCTTTTATTCCTCAGTGAGGCTCCCAGAAGTGGCAATACCAGGACCCACACCTGGGCTGCCCAGCTCCAGAGCTTTTCCTCTTCCTCTCTCTCCCAATTAAAATCACTAATGGCAGGACTTCCCTGGTGGTCCAGTGGTTAAGACACCAAGATCCCAATGCAGGGGGCCCGATTCGATCCCTGGTTGGGGAACTAAGATCCCACATGCCGCAACTAAAGATCCCGCACGTCGCAACTAAGACCCTGAGCAGCCGAATAAATAAATACTTTTTAAAAAATCACTAATGGCTCCATAAATGCCACACTCCTCTCCATGGCCTGCACAGCATCTCCCTGACCTCAGCCTCTACAACACCCTCACCTGCTCTGGGCTTGCCCTGCTCCAGCCAGAGCCCTCCTCCCTGTTCCACAAACACTCCAGGCATGCTCCTGCCACAGGGCCTTTGCACTGGCCGTTCCACCTACCTGGAATGCTTGTCCCCCAGTGCAGGGCTCAATGAGCCAAGACTTGGAGGAAGTTATGGAGCGAGGATTCTGGGCCGTGAGCCCAGCAAGTGCAAAGGTCCTAAGGCAGGACCATGATGGAGGTGATGGAGGAACAGTTAAGGGGCTGGGCAGGGTTGGGGGGCACTGGAGAAGAGTGACCTAGGCGGAGAGCAGGGGAGATTAGATATGGCAGGGTGAGGGCCAGACCATGCAGGGTCTTCGTGCAGAGGTGAGAACTTTGCTGGTGGGACCCAAATGGGGCCAGTCCCAGTTCTGGTGCCACCCCCACAGGCAGCCCTCAGGCTTGAGTGGGGCCTGACTGGGTCCCCAGAGCAGGCAGTGGTACCCACCTCGTGGGTTTGGGAGCATCGGGTCCTGTCCATGTCACTCAGGCTGTGGCTCCTGCCGTGGCCACACATGCCTCAGTGGGTCCAGTCAGCATCTGTGAGGAAAAGAAACAGGGACCCCTGAAGGAAGATGCTGGGGCAGGCGCACGTGGGTGGGTGAAGCAAGAACGCAGGGTGTTTCCTCTATGTGCACGTGGGGAAGGTAAGTGGATTCAGGGTGGGGTACACCTGGGCCAGTCAGGTGCACAAGCAAGCAACCAAAAGGGAGACAGAGACATGCTCAGAGGCAGACACATGTCACATCACACACAGACACACACATGGAGTTGCATGCAACCACACGGGGGGGGGGGCTGTTATACCACCCCCTGCCTTGGCCCTCAGATGCCCTTACACAGTCACCCATATGCTGTGGCACAGTCCTTCCCATACACAAGGAGGCAGGCAGTCTCGCACACCCACTCAACTCCAAGCACGTCTGCGGTCACGCCTGCCCATGCACACATGGGTACACACACAACAAAGTCACACATGCCGCCCTGCTCAACGGGCACGCCTGGCCTGGGTCACTACCCACAGTGGCACCCCTAGTCACACACAGAGTCATGCGGTGGGCAGAGCTCCGCACATATCCAGAGCCGCAGGTTTGCAGGGTCTCCCCCACGCGCAAACACACACAGACACACACACACACACACACACACACACACGCAGCACCCCCACCCTCGCAGTGTCTCTCATCAATATCCTGTGCACAGCCCTCCACTCAGGCACACCCTGACCATCCAGCTCCATGCTGGCAGGCACACCCACCCAGCCACCCTACGCAGTTGCACAGCCAGGAAGTGTGGAATTATACACCTCACACCCACCTAGGAGAACAAGTTCCACACATGCCCAAAGTCACAGATAGGCAGAGGTCCCCAAATGCTCAAATTCACAGGCACAGGCCGCTAGGGTCAGGCACGTGCAAACATGTGGTGACACTTGGGGACGGACTCACATGAAGTCTCATGCACAGATGGGACAGGCGGGCCTACACGCACAGTGACACACATAGCTACACGCCCGCACCGGCACAAAGTTCTGGAGTGGCACGCAGGGCAGGCCTCACACGCACAGGAACACGCCGCTGGAGTCGGGATCATACCGTCACACACAGACACACAGGGGACAAGCGTACACACAATCGCGCATGCGCACCGCGGCGCCCTCGCCTCCAGGACCATCTCTGAAGGCCTTGGGCGGCTCCCGCCGAGCCTGGCGGGTTTGGGTCAGTTTCTCCACGGTCTCTGGCCTATCCGGCCCACGCGGAGCCCTGGTGACCCCTCGTTCGGCGGTGGCGCGGACGTGCGGGCCACACAGGTCAAGGTATCAGCCACCACAAACTAGCCCTAGCGCCAGGCCGGCCCGGACTGCGCGTGCGCACTGGGAGAGTTGCGGCTCGCTCGGGTCCGTCAAGAACTACAACTCCCAGAAGGTGCCGCGCTGCGCCTGCACAGTGACTCGGGCCCGCAGCGCCGGTGTACGGAAACTACAAGTCCCAGAAGGACGTGCGACCGCACACAGTGGGATGATGAATCTCAGCGGCTCCGGGAGCCCGAGGAGGGCAGGGCGGCTGGGGGCGGGGCTTGGGCGTGTCTACCCGAGCTCCGCTCACCACGACCTGGGCGCCCTGGTGGGCGGGGCCAGTAATATGGAGGCGGGACTCTTCTTCCTCAAGGAGGGGGTGGAGTCCACAGGTGAGGGTAAAAAAGACCCTTAGGATCAGAGAGGCTAAGTGAGTCACCCCAGGCCACACAGCACAGAAAGGGTTTGAGCTGGAGTTTGCAACCCACAGTTCACCCTTAAGCCATGGAAATCATTTGTCTCAAAGATATGATGTAATTCTAGACCAGAGGGAAAAAGGTGACAAATCCATTGACGTGGGCAAACGATTATAGTACAGAACTCGACATAAGAGTTACTATTGGCCTGCTGTTTTTTTGGGGTTTTTTTTCGGTACGCGGGCCTCTCACTGCTGCGGCCTCTCCCGTTGCGGAGCACAGGCTCCGGACGTGCAGGCTCAGCGGCCATGGCACACGGGCCCAGCCGCTCCGCGGCATGCGGGATCCTCCCAGACCAGGACACGAACCCGTGTCCCCTGCATCGGCAGGCGGACTCTCAACCGCTGCGCCACCAGGGAAGCCCTGGCCTGCTGTTTTTGTAAAGTGCTTCTCCATAGAGTTAGGCTTCCTAAATTATTCCCTTCATAGGATTAGCCTTCATAAATCCTTCCTTCGGCCATTAGAGAAATGGGCACAAGCTCATTTTTAGACAGTTGGGAAAGCAGAGAAACGTGTGAATATACAATGGGAAGACGTATGTATGTCACCAGAATCAACATGCTACAGATTGTGAGATACTATATTATTTTACATATTCCCAAGGCTGCCCGTTAAACCATGACACCTGCTTTTTATTGTTTTTAATTGAGTTATAGTTGATGTACAATATTATATGAGTTTCAGGTGTACAGCATAATGATTCAAATTTTTAAAGGTTATACACTATTTATAGTTATTATAAAATACTGGTTATATTCCCTATGTTGTACAATTGTCTTTGTAGCTTATTTATTTTATACATAGTAATTTGTATCTCAATCCTATACCCCTATTTTACGCCTCCCCCCATTCCCTCACTCCACTGGAAACATGCTTTCTTTACCTTTCAAGTTTTTGTTTTATGTGTAGATGTCCAGAGGCATTGTGGGTTTCCTCTCATCCTTCTGGAAGCTTCTGGCCTTGCATGGTAAGAACACGCCCACTGCCCCTCCAAGCCTGGGACTCATGGAGCAGAGCCTCCCAGCCAATCCACAGACCTGTAAGCATGAGAAGAAAGGATTTTTGTTTTAAGCCACCAAGGTTTTAAAATTTTTTTCTGGTTTAGTTTTACATTTGAATAGTTAAAAAACATCAGGGAACTTCCCTGGGGGCGCAGTGGTTAAGAATCTGCCTGCCACTGCAGGGGACACAGGTTCGAGCCCTGGTCTGGGAAGATCCCATGTGCCGTGGAGCAACTAAGCCCATGTGTCACAACTACTGAGCCTGTGCTCTAGAGCCCGTGAGCCACAACTACTGAGCCCACGTGCCATAACTACTGAAGCCCACGTGCCTAGAGCCCGGGCTCCGCAGCAAGAGAAGCCACCGTGATGAAGCCCACGCACCGCAATGAAGAGTAGTCCCCACTCACCACAACTAGAGAAAGCCCGTGCACAGCAACGAAGACCCAGTGCAGCCAAAAATTAATTAATTAATTATTTTAAATAAAAATAAAAAACGCCTCTTACACTTTCCTCTTAAACCATGTAGGGAGCTCAGAAGGCTGAAGGTTTTTGGGGTTTTTTTTACTAAAAAGCTTCCCCCCCCCTTTTTAAAAAAAGGCAGGGATTACTCAAATACAGGAAAGGACCTTTCTATTCAAGTATATGATGTGGAAGTATTATGAAGAAAAACATTTTATTATGCTCATTTCATTATTCTGTGGTTATTAGGAAAAAACGTTCTATTAGTAGCAATTCAAGCAGGGCACAGAGGGAGGGCTCCATCTCTGCCCCACAGTGGGACTTTATCGGGGTGGCCAGGGAGCCAGGGATGGCTGGGTTGGCTCAGTTTGTCCATACATCTGGGGCCTGGCTCTTCTCCATGCAGTGGGTGTTGGGACTGGCCAGACACCTCCATGTGGCTCGCTTGGGCCTCCTCACAGCACAGTGGACCGAGAGTAGTAGAACTTCTCATACAGTGGTTCCGGGCTTCAACAGGAGTAAGCCAGGAGCAAGCCACTGAGTGGAGGGTCGATTTGTTACATAGCAGTTTATTGGCAATAAACTGACTGAGACAGAGGCAGGGCCCAGAGATGAGGCTGAAGTGTAGGCCGGGTAATTCAGGTTCTTGTGGGCCATGCTAAGAACACTTCCTAAATGTGCGAGGCAATCGCTGCTGTGCTTTATATCTTTTAAAGCTGGAAGAGGGAATTTCCTGGCTGTCCAGTGGTTAGGACTCAGCGCTTTCACTGCTGGGGCCCCGGGGTTTGATCCTTGGTGGTGGGACTAAGATCCCGCATGCCATGCCGCGCGGCCAAAAAGAAAAAGGAAGCTGGAATAGTCTGCATTTATGATACTACGTGTGCCTGCCTGGTGTGAGTACTGAACACTGTTTCCTTAACCCTTTTGGGAAGTTCTTTCCCTGGCCTTGAACCTTGGTTCTGCTAAGTGCTCAAGGGGGACCCTCTGCAGATCTCCGGGTGGCCCTATTCGCTTCAGTACCCTTTCCTAGGAACTCAGGCCACGTTGGTTTTTCTGGATTCTCAGCTCCATCTCTTCAACTCAGGGGGTCTACAGGGCTCTGCCTGGATTCCTCCCCCTGCACCGTGACCTAGAAACGCTCTTAAGATAGTAAGCCAGGGAAATGGTAGGGCTCCCTTCATTCATTTCCCATGTCCCACTGTCCTTTGTGGCCTGATGTGCACTGTCTTAAAAAGCACTATGTTTTATGTTTTGCCCCTTTTATGGTTGTTTCATAAGGGAGGGAAAATCTGGTCCCTGTTACTCCAACTTGGCCAGAAGCAGAAGTCCATGGTGGTTTTTAACTAACATTAGCCTCATTTTGGATAGACAACAACACCAAGTATGATTTTACCAAAGAAAAGCAGAAATAGTTCAATTTATACCAAGAAAAAATATTTTTTCTTGAATGAAAAATAGTGGTGATTTTACTCCAGTGATATAAATTGGGTTGGCCAAAAAGTTTGTTCAGTTAATGAATATATTTTTCAGTAAAGTTCGTGGGAAAAATGAAAAATGTGTCTTTTATTTTTACTTAAAACCGAACCAACTTTTTGGCCAACTCAATAGTATCTTCACTCTTAAGGGTTTATGGATACTTGTCCGTCCTTGCTGGAATCATGAGAGGGGACATTTTCCTCAAAGAATGGACGATGGAAACAGCTCAAGGTTCTTTTCCTTTAAATATTTTTGTTTTTATTTTTTATTGAAGTATAGTTGATTTACAAGTTTGTGTTAGTTTCTGGTGTGATTCAGTTATATATACATATATTTATATATAAATATATTTGCATATGTATATATAAAACTGAATATATATATTCTTTTTCAGATTCTTTTCCATTATAGTTTATTACAATGTATTGAATATAGTTCCCTGTGCCATACAGTAGGACCTTGTTGTTTGTCTATTTTATACATAGTAGTTTGTATCTGCTAATCCCAAATTCCTAATTTATCCCTTCCTCCCCTTTCCCCTTTGGTAACCATAAGTTTGTTTTCTATGTCTGTGAGTCGGTTCCTGTTTTGTAAATAAGTTCATTTGTGGTTTTTTTTTTTTGGCCGTGCCACCATGTGGCTTGTGGGATCTTAGCCCCCCGACCAGGGATTGAACGTGAGCCCCAGCAGTGAAAGTGCTGAGTCCTAACCACTGGACCGCTGGGAAATTCCCATTTGTGTCATTTTTTTTTTTTTTAAAGATTCCACATATAAGTGATAAATGTGATTTTTAAAATAGTTTTCTTTATAAAGTTATATTTACCTGTTATGAGCTGAATTGTGTCTCCCTCCCATCCCCTCCCGCCAATGATATTTTGAAGTCCTAACCCTCAGTATCTCAGAATGTTATTTGGGGGTAGGGACTTTACAGAGGAAATCAAGTTAAAATTAGGTCATTAGGGTGGGTCCTAATCCCATAGGACTGGTGTCCTTATAAAAAGGGGAAATTTGGATACAGAGCCATGTAGGCATAGAAGGAAGATGATGTAAAGCGACACAGGCCAACCACAAGGGAAGGAGAGAAGCCTGGAACTGATCTTCCCACAAGACCCAACTTTGCTGATATCTTGGTTTCAGAATTCCATCCTCCAGAACCGTGAGGCAATACATTTCTCTTTCCTAAGTCCCCCCAGTTCATGGTACTTTGTTACAGCAGCCCTAGCAACTAATACAGAGGCTATAAACAACAGCTGTGGTTTAGTTCGTTAGCCGTGGGCTGGGTTCAGCTAAGCAGTTCTTCTGGTCTTTCTGGGCCCACTCATGCATCACTGGTCAGCTACGGGCTGACTGGGGACTGGCTCATTTAAGGTGGCCTCACCTGCGATGGCTCATTTCTGCTCCAACAGGCTAGCCCGAGCCTGTCCACATGGCAGCTGGGTGGGGTTCCAAGAGTGTGAGCAGAGTCTGCAACACCACTTGAGTCCCAGGCTCCACGTGGATGCATTTCCATGTTCACAGCATTCTATTGGCCAAAGCAAACTACAGGTACAATCCAGATTCAAGGAGTGGGAAAATGGAAATGTTGCAAGACAGGTGGATGC